GCACAGTAGTTGATTATTAGCTGAATTTTTTTTTCGCCGGGCGGTAACACCCTGTGTGTTGTTGAGAGTGCCCACGACATGCAAGAATGGCACAATTACACAGAAAACAAACACTTTGAACCCTGAAGATGATCTCAATAAAGATCGAAACGTTGGCACGATAAAGAAAATATTTTTCTGAAACCTACATCACACAAGACCGCATCTCACGATCTCTGAATAATTATTTATTTAAGATTTAAATTTAAAAAAAGAAGAAGAAAAATACATTTATTACTAAAAAAAGTAATGGTTTTCAAAATAGTTACAGTAAAAAGACGTCTACGGGAGTTTGAAATTTTTTACTACACCATAATTTAAGTTATTTTACAACGTTTATATTAAAGAGGATTTCAATTAACAGTTTGGAAGGATCAAACTCACAAGAGCAATAATAGCGAGACAATCTACCCCAGGAATCAAATCAGGATTCATTCTCTGTAGAGAGAATGATTTTTTCATGAAATTCTTTGAAACCTTTCCAAGACCTCATAATGATTACAACCCATAATTTGAGGTGCATAATAAATTATGGATTGTAACACGCTTTTATAGAGATGGTACTTTCAGAGTCGTTTTGTGAGAAAAACAATGAACAGATTATGTTCAGACCGAGCTTAGCCCTGGAAACTTGGCTTCCAAATTTAAATTATAAAAAGCATAAAAAAATTAACAGCTATATATTAGCTAAAACTGTTAAATACGCCTCGTTTGACTAAATAAATGTCAAAAAGAGACTTTTTACTTGAAAAACTTCTTTTTTAATGTTTATCTCCTGCTATAATTTTTGTTTTCTTGTTCTTTTTTTTTAATTTACCCCTATAAAAACAGTACTTCGGTTACGTTAATAAACTTTTTTTTAACGGAACTACCCTCTGTTTGGGTTAAAGAGGGGGTCGGCAGAGGTTGCTTACAAGCACTTTTGGCCGGTTTCCAGCACACCCTACATATATAAAGTAATTAAAACCCGAGTAATACTAACCCCCTTTCCCTTTTACAAGTCGCCAATATCGTGTCTTAAGGACTGTTGAAACCCGTTTAGGATATATTTGCAGGCTTTATTGCTTTCTCCTCCTTAGCCGAGGACAAGTGGGATTTTCTTAAATTGTATTTACATTTAGCGTTAAATTATCGAAAAGGAAGTTAAACGGTTTGCCAAGTTCTTTCAAACTGTCAACACTCGATAAAAAGGTCAAAAAATTCTGTTTTTTGTTTGTTTGTTGGGTAAATAGAGAGAAGTTAAGTCAATTTGTATGGTTAAAAAGAAGGTGGAAAAGATAAAGAAACCTTAGGAAAAAAGGCTTTTCTTCCGTCATTTAAGCGGAAGCAGACAGCCTTCCTAATGCCTTCATAAAACAATTTGCCCCCGCAGCCCTTTCATCCCCGTCCCAACCCTTGAAGAACAACCTTAGGGGTTATTAGACGGTATATTAACCGGTGTCAACCTAGTTGCTGAGCTGGTCCGACCGACCCTCCTAAAATCCAAAAGCTCCCCGTTTAGGTGACGCTCGGATCGTTGTCGTCTAATTTACAATGAAAAAAGAAAATAAATTCCTTTGAATAATTCAAAAACATGTTCACTCCTAAAAAGCATGCTGTATGCTAATATATCACATGTATGTAATTTTAATAATTATTAATTGAAAATTTCATTCACAGTACGATTTCAAGTATACTTACATTAAGAGCTTAAAATGTATGTATTTAAAAATGTATATATGTTAAAAAATATGTGTAATGCACGTGTATATATGTATATATATTGTATAGTAAAACAGACTGATAAAATTTCATTGCTGTGAAATATTATTAAATATTATACATTATTATTGCAATTATTTTCTCAATATAGTACTACTAGATGTAGTATTATTGGTATGTTTACCTTATGTTTGAAACTTTAAGTTACTATTTTAACATGATACATTTGTATTTGTATTGTTTTCGATCAATTTTGTCTGCCTTTTTACGCGGTTCGGCCCTTTCAACTTTTTCCATCTTCAGTAGTGGGCCAGGGATATAAGCAGGGTGTGGCATTTAATTCGAACGAAGATAAGATAATTCAAAAACATGTTCCCTCCTCAAAAGCATGTTACATGCTAATATATCACATGTATGTCATTATAATCATCATTAATTGAAAATTTAATTCACAGTACGATTTCAAGTATACTGACATTAAAAGCTTAAAATATATCTATTTAGAAATGTATATATGTAAAATGTATATATGTTTAAAAAATCGGATTATGTATGTGTATATATATATATATATATATATGGTATATAGGTATATATATGTGTATGTATATACACATGTACGTGTATATACGTGTATATGTATATACGTGTATNGTGTATATATGTATATATATTGTGTAGTAAAACAGACTAATAAAATTTCATTGCTGTGAAATATTTTTAAATATTATATATTGTTATTGCTAGTATTTTCTCAATATGTAGTATATTACTACTAGACGTAGTATAATACAGGCTCATCGTACCCCCAAGATATCAAGTGAAAATCTCACAATAATATACTAGTTTAGTAGAACCAAAACGTTGGCTTTTTCAAAATGTTTCGAATTGATATTTTGCAATGTCCTCCAACTAGAAACATAATATAATAGTTATTTGAAGGACCAATAGACCTTAAATAACAGCTCCCCGTGGCCGCTTCCAGTTTGTCGAGAATCCAAAACGATTTCACGTAATTTGAATATGGGACAAAAAAAGAGGGGAATTTGAAAAAGTTGTGGGATGAGATGATGAGTTGTGTCTCGGGGGAAGCAGTCAACGAAGTCAGGATCGCTCAAATGGTTAGAGAGCGGTAATTAGCCGAAGGTCGTGGGTTCGAGTCCCGCTCGTGGCACTAATCTTTTCATCTCTAACTACACTTACATTTTGAGATTGCTTCATGGTCTGCGTAGTAATGGAATAGTAGTTCGATCGTCAGCGATATTTTCGCATGTCTATTCTCACTGATTTGCCCAGTCAAATGCTTTTCGGTTTCTCGCTATCGTCCGTGCTAACTAGATAGTTACAAAAGACAGGTTCGTCGCCCTTCATACAACAATCTTTGGTTGGTTAATCGATTACTACACTTTTTACAAAACAAAAATTAACAGTTGCGAAATAAATGCACAATGTCAATAAATCTATCAGATACGAAGATACGAAAGTTCACGTTGTTCGGAAAGGACCAAACGACTGATCAGGTTCATCCCCAACTACTTTTTTTTCGTCATTCTGATAATTTAAAATGATAAAACATGATATTAAAGCGCATTTTGATGCAGAATGAAGATGTATGAAGAATGAGTTGAGCATTCCTATCATGGCCATACTTTATTTTCTAAAAACAGGCCTATTATGACGAATTATTATTAGTGTACAGTATTTCATTTTAAAAAATTATAAAGATGAAAGAATAACTCGGAAGTTAGCGAAAATTGTGAAGAATCGCAAGGCCACAGTAGATTGCCGTATGGATTTATAGCTCAGGACGAACGCGGATTTCCCGCTGATTAGTTACCTCTAAGAAAATGGAAAATTACGGTCATTGTTTTCTTCCGGGAGTTGGAAACGAAAGGGAATCACGCCACTTGGAGTATGAGTTATTGATATTGCTTTGGAGGAATGTGCAAAGCGTGTAAAAAGGACTCTCGGCTTCTTTTCGTAATTATTTTTCCAACCGGTAAATTGACTTTTTACTTTTTTTTAATTAAAAAAAATCTCCTGTGTCCAATATTGCCGTTATCTCCTTCTGTTCAGTACAGACGGACCGAAAGGATCGATGGATAGAGAAGCAATGCATTACTATGCAGGCCAGGACACTCTTCACTTGGGCGTAGCCTCCGCCCCCGTTCAAAGACTCTTTTCATTCCCCCTCGTCATCCCCCGTCCTGCAGCTCTTCCCCCAATCTTTCCAATAGACTAATACCCTTCCGGCCTTTTCCTTAAGAATTAGCCCAAACACAATCAGGCCCTTTGTAACAAACATCGCCTTTTTTCCATCAGAGCCAACAACTCGGTAACTTCCTTCTCGTACATAAAAACTCAGAATATAGGCTCTTTCCTGTTTTCTTTTTCTTAAAATTTTGAAAGTTTGTTCCTAAATCGCAAAATGTTAGATTTATACGATACAACTTGAAGTAACAAAAATTAGCTTGTTTCTCAGTTAAAACACTTCAAACTATCAGATTGATGTATTCACAATTCAAAAACAATACCAGCCTGGTGCTTTGTTTTTACTTTAAATTATTCTAATGAATTCGTCTATGATCACATACTTTGGTATGTTAAAGTTCTACACGCGAATTCGTATGATCAACTATCACTTTGTTTTTTTGTAAAACCTCACATCTCGAATTTTCCCTCATTTTGCCATTCGAGAGGCCTCCAAAATTCGAGAGGTGAGGTTGAGATGGGAAGTTGGTGTCCGAACGGATCGAAGTCACGATAGCTCTAGTGGTAGAGTAGCAGCGTATTTAGCCGAAGGTCTCGGGTTCGAATCCCGCTCGTGACACTGACTTTTTTATCTCAACCAATACCTTCCATAAATATTAATTATTTGTAAAGTTATTAACGCTGTACTAACAATTTTTAAAAATATTAAATTAACCAAACCAAAAGAATGATTATGTTTACGTTTAAAATTAAAACTTCAGTTATCAATGATTGTAACCATGGTATGTTAAAGTATAAAAACAATTCAACTGTTAAAAATTGTGGCAATTTAAACAATTAAAAAGCATTTGATTAACAGACAAAATATGTCAACTGAGTTGACCTTTTTAAAATAATTGTTTTACTTATTAGTAAAAATGTTGCTATTTTAACGTTTAAAAAAATATTATTGCAAACATATTTTACTGATTTGTGTAAGAAATAGCATTTCAATTTTTTTCATTTTTAAAGAATTTTGGGATTCATTATACATACATTAAATCAAAACAGCTGATAGATTTGTTAAACTTATTAGTATTTGTCAAGGTTGGTTTATTTTACTGGACGTAACGAGTCGTGGGGATACGAAGCGAAAACCTTCATGCGCGTTATTAGGTGAATTTCTCAGCAGCCGGTTTATACTTTGATTGCATTTTCGTCGACAGTTGAACCTCGGATGAATTTCATCTGATTGTCATAAAACGACATATTTCTTTTCATGACATCCATGCAAGGGCCGAGGAGACGCTCGAAAGCTTCCACGTCGAGGTAGGCGAGATCGACTTTCCCTTTGGCGAAGGCGGAAGCAGCCCTCGGTTGGTGTGTGACCAAGGCAAGCTCGCCGAAGTAGTCGCCGCTTTTGAGGATTTTCAAAGGGACGTCATCTCCAATGTCGTCGACGATGGATATTTCTACTTCTCCTTGCATCACGAAATACATGCCGTCGGCGGCGTCGCCCTGTTTTAAGATCCGCTCTCCTATTTGGTACGACTTTTGTACCAAGGCGTCGGCGAGTTGTAACTTCTCGTAGGACTCGAGAGCGTTAAACATCGGCACTTGATCGATCAGCTTTTCGTAGAATTTTCGCCTTTTGAAGGAGTTTGAGACGACGATTCGTCGGAACGTCTGCCTCTTCATAGCCCAGAGGAGGCCGTCTGTCATCGCAGTGATCGTCGCCGAACGAGGCATGTTGTACAACAAAGCCAATTCACCAAAACTCCCTGAGTTATTGTAAGTTTTAATGATTTTCTTGTTTCCTAATTTGTCTTTTATACTCGCCTCGAATATTCCATGATCAATTATGTAAAAATAGTCTCCGTCTTCGCCTTGCTTTATCACTTGGTCTCCGGCTTCGACCTTCTTTTCGAACATGGCGTCGATAATCTCGCTGAACTGCCGATCGTCGAGGGTCCTAAAGAGAAGAACCTGTTTTGTCTGTTCGATGAGGGCTTTCCTCTGTGCATCTGTTTTTTTAAAAACGTCTTTAACATCTTCGTCGTTGACGTCATCTTCGGGATTGAACGGTTCTGTGTAGATCGTAATTCTTCTTCCGGGCCGTGCCTGTATCTCTTCTTCCATTTCTATCTCTTCTGCTGAGCGGGAACGCGGCTTCTCCCTCACGATGTGGACACTGCTTTTTAACTGTCCGAAATACTGCAAGCCAAAGTCGGCCAAGTTCGACGGTTGTTGTATGAGGTAAGTGATTGTGAGATCTCTGATAATGGCCTTAAAATCATCACCTACCTTGTACCAGGGGATTAAATGTTTAGTCATTTTACTCTTTCCCGATTGTCGAATTGTCAACGAAATTCCAACGAATTGTTTACAGTTATACTTATATTAAAACCATCAAACTATTTCGCTAATTCTATATTTCTAGAGGTAACTACTACTCAAAAGACAAATGAAATAAAAATAGTATGTAATTATAAATCATTTGTTTTTAACCTTTATGGAAAATAAATCTGTTTTTTTTTTCAATTAATTTTTGTAAATTTCATTCACAAAAATTAATATTGATTTACAGAATATTTTTATTTTATTTTGTAGCTTTTAAATTAGTGTAGCATATGCGATTTGGTAGTCTTCGGTTTTTCCAGATCTACATACATATATGATATAACTAAAATTTCAAATATTTTTTATATCAAATCTTTCTAAAAATAAAAACATTTACCTAAATATATATTTTCTTCAACAAAAAATGCATTGTCTAACTATACAAATGTTCGCAAGTACCAAAAAAAGGGCAATTTTTGTTTCAGGTAAGTACAGCTTAATGTATTATACAAATTTAGAGAGTATCACAGAAACAAATAGAATGCATCATTGAATAAAATAGTTACAATGAGTATCTTGATAAATACTGAACTCAAATACCATGTAAATAAATAAAAATTTGTAAAAACAGAGATACGTATTTACAATCATTAATAGAAAAAAGGGTAAAACAATAAAATTAAGGACTGTTGCATAAAAATGAGGCATTAAAATGTTCAACAGGTTAATGAAAGGTGAGCAATTTTAAAATTTCAATAGTTCTTTTATAATCAGTTTCTTAAACTATTCCCTTATGCATATTTGATCAGCAACTGTTAATAAAAGCCTGTGGATATTTTTTCGTTTTTTTGTTAAAAGTTTTTCCAAATTTGATTAGGCTTAAAAGTATGGGAAGTTTTCCCCGCAGTAGAGCCTAGGGATGTTACGAGGAGGTACAGTTTGCACCGTAAAATATTATTACAGGAGTAGAAATGATGAATGGTGGAGTGAGTGCGGTTCTTTTTAAAAAGCATTATTACAGGAGAGTGGAATAATGAGAGAGAGTGACAGTGAGTGAGAAAGTGAGACAAAGAAGAAGAAGAGAAAGAACGAAAGAAGGAGGGAGAGTGTGTGTGTGTGTGTGTGTGTGAGAGAGAGAGAGAGAGAGAGTGAGAGTAAGATAGAGAGAGAAAGAGAGAGTGAAAGAGAGAGAGAGAGAGAGAGAGAGAGAGAGAGAGAGAGAGAGAGAGAGAAGGAATGAATGAAAAAATATCGTTTTTTTTTTAACTAGGGGGCTTAATAAGTTAAAGAGCAAAATCAAATAAATAAACTCAAAAACTTCCGCTCCTTTCAATTTTTGGCAGGATCGCGAGAAAATATAACTCGTACACTACTACAAAGCTTCGTCAAAAACAATATTTTCTTTTCACTAGTTTTCGTGGTCCGCTTGATCAATTAATATCTTTCAATTAATTAAGGTTTTTAATTGAGATAAAAAGTTAGTGTCTTAAGTGGGATTCGAACCCACAACCTTCGGCTTGATACGCCGCTACTCTACCACTTGAGCTATCTTGACTTCGATCCACTCGGACACTAACTTCCCATCTCAACCTCACTCTTTGAATTTTCCCTCCTTTTTACCATTTTTTAAGGTTTTATCTCAACTAAAAAGCTTAATTAATTGAAATATATTTATTAGTGAAGCGGACCACGAAAACTAGTGAATTTAACAAGTTAAAATGAAGTAAATCTTCACTAAAGCTCTCCGCGGCCATTTCATTTATCGGCGAGAATCAAAAAGATAACACGACGTTTGAAAGTTGAAAATGAAAATTGAAAGCCGTGAAGTTATATATCGGTTAGATATGAGTTTCAACACAGTGAAAAAGTTAAAAAAAGACACAAAAGTGCCCTCAGAGAAAAAACGTCGCATTCTCACAATGGTTAAAAAAACCCGGCCATATCCGACTCACAAACATTATCAAAGATTACTACAACTAACCATACACGTTTCAAACTTCGAATTGTATGAAATATTTATGTTCTGTTCGCATTGTTTCATTAAATTTACTTGGTTTTTAATTGTTTTTATAAAAGTTTGATTATCTTTAACAATCTTTTAGGTTTATTTGTAAGCCCAAACACAATCAGATGTCGCTGTATATATTGTGTATATTTTGAAAAAGACGAGCTTCCACTTCAAACCCAGAATCGTTAATCAGAAAGAATGAAAATGAATTCCCTGTTTGGAGTAAACATAATCGCGAAATTTGAACCTAAAAGTTGAACAAGAAAAAAAGGAAAAAGCTTTCCCATGTAGCAAAAGTACCTAATAAAATTGTTGGGCTACGTTTGTCTCTCGAAGGAAAAGAGGTGCTGTTGCAGGAGGGATTTTAAAGTGGTAAAGGAGGCGGCTTTGAAGATTGGCAGAAGGTGACTGAATCCTATAACAATGGCTATGGAATATTTCGGATTTAATTCTGGGTTGTTTTAACGTGCCCATCCGTTTATGGAATTGAGATGATTCTGAATTCTGGGGCTAGCCAAATGTAAGTAGGTGAGATGTATGGACTATTAAATTTGGGATTCCTAAATCCTCCCTAACCATTAGATATTTATAGCATTTTTGGACTTTTGAAAAGGCCGTAAAAAATAAAATAGCTTAACGATGTTTTGACAAAAGATTGGGTAATGGAATTGGTAAATTGGAATAATGGAAAATTCTTGAAATAACCCAGAACTATGTTCGTTGTCAATGCAAAGGGCATAGTGATGAAATATTGAAACGTTAATTATACCTTAAATTCACTAATTTCGTGGTCCGCTTGACCAATTAATACATTACAATTAATTAAGGTTTTTAGTTGAGCTGAAAAAAAAGTCAATGGCACGAGCGGGATTCGAACCCATGATCTTCGGCTAGATACGCCGCTGCTCTACCACTTGAGGTATCGTGACCTCGATCCACTCGGACATCAACTTCCTATCTCAACCCAACCTTATGATGGCGTATCTAGCCGAAGATCGTGGGTTCGAATCCCGCTCGTGCCATTGACTTTTTTCAACTCAACTAAAAACGTTAATTAATTGTAAGTTAATTATACCTTTAAATTTTTTATTACAAAAAATGTCTACGCTCTGTGCGAGTATTATAGTGCAATTTGTTAAAAGTTCGGAAATTTTGAATTTTATGGTAATTTCACTTTGTTTGGCTATTTTTATCTAATTTACTTCCTTAAATAAATAAAAATTGTTTACTCAAATATCTCTTTACGGTGTCAATAACAATTTTTACCCACTGAATATAATACGCATAATCACTTGCCAATCTTTTTTTACTAAAATGTTTAATTACAATTAGACGATTACTTTCTAGATCTAAATTTGTGATTAAACAAAAAAATAATGCACTGGTTTTCAACACAATAAAAAAATACTTTTTTCAATTCATCACATGATGAATTAGTAAAAATACTTTCATTCTTGAAAATTTGATATTGAATGAACTATTTTAAAAAACTATTAACAAATACACACTCCGTGTTTTTAATTACCTTTTGTAAAATAACCTATACGAAAATACCAATGAGTGTGATTTTAATAAGTTTATTTTTTATTTTATAGTATTAATTCAAACAACTAGTTTTTACTTAACACATAGTTTCTTGACACTGGCTTTTTTATCTCAATTAAAAACTTTAATTAATTGAAAAATATTTTCTATGCATTTTTCTTTTAATTTGCAGTGTATTTTAATGCCCATCATTGTACACCTCGATATGCTATAAATAGAAATATCGTGTTTTTGAATGATCAAACCTATTTTCTCAAAACTTTGTGACTTATGGTCATATGAAATGCTAGACGAACTAAGTATTGCAACGTTTCAAAAAGTGCATTTCGGTATCTCCTCGTGTGTTTAAAGCCTCGACATATATTCCAGGATTATCTACTCTTTTTATTCCCAGTTAATATCGTGCAGAGTAGTATCGTTCTATCAACTTTTCTTCCTTCATGCGGGTCTTGTTACACAACCCGTCTTCTATGTATAAATTTCCCAATAGCAATTGTATATTCTGCTTTTAAGTGCACTTCTGCAGGAGGCCGTGACACAGCATAATATATAGAAACTCACTTCACAATTTCCTCTGGCTCACAATAAGATGATTTTTTAAACTGTATAGTTTCTAGTTGCAAATGTAGCTCTATTTTCATTTCTTCCTCAGATAAATTTAATGGTTAAAACTTTAATTAAAATATTACACAACTAAATTCACTAATTTCGTGGTCCGCTTGACCGATTAATATATTACAAAGGAGGGAAAATTCAAAAGGTGCGGAAGTTAGTGTCCGAGTGGATCGAGGTCACGATAGCTCAAGTGGTAGAGCATCGGCGTATTTAGCCGAAGATCGTGGGTTCGAATCCCGCTCGTGCCATTAACTTCTTTTTCATCTCAACTAAAAACCTTAATTAATTGTAATATATTACAGAACATTTCCTGGAGCATTTCAAGTTTTTTTACTTTTATTATTTCCCATATCTAACAACCATTCTAAGAATTCAATGGAATCTCCAATCGCAGCATATTCTTGGACAATTTGAATTGTTGTCGGCCATTCCTTAAGAAACTATATTTTAAGCGTGCTATTTTTTTATTTTCTTCTCCCCCTGTTTTTATGACTGGTAAAACATGTCGAAAGTCACCACCCACATTAAAATTTACTCAGCACATGCTCGATCGCCATTAAAAATTTCAATTATCTATCTTGATTTAACTTTTGATCGTCAATATAACATAGCACCTAATCAATCTGGAAATGGTTTTTCATTCTTATTTTGTGAGGCAAGATGATTTTCCTTACTTCTGTAATTATAAAATTTATGGCATTTATTCAAATTTACCCCAGGTGTATTTTCTTTTTAATAACATTCAATTAATTAAGGTTTTTAGTTGAGATAGAAAAGTCAGTGTCACGAGCGGGATTCGAACCCACGACCTTCGGCTTGATAAGCCGCTACTCGACCACTTGAGCTATCGTGACTTTTGAATATTTGACCGTTTAGTTTGTTAGGATGTGGCATCATGAGTAAGGGTAAACTAAAGAATTCACCGGCAAAAGACGTCCTTCGGTGGTAAAATCTTTAGTTTGTTTTTTCCCCAAAATACTGCCATTATTTGTCCACAATAGTGGTGGTCCGTTTTTATGAATAATATTCGAAAATTTGTAACACGATTTTATTGTAAAACCTTTCCTGCAGATAGAACAAATTTAATCTGATCTTCATAAAGTGACATATTTCTTTTCATAAGATCCATGCAGGGTCCGAGGAGGCGTTCAAAAGCTTCCGCATCGAGGTAGGCGAGATCGGCTTTTTTTCTGGCGAAGGCAGAAGCAGCTCTCGGTTGATGGTTGACCAAGGCAAGCTCGCCGAAGTAGTCGCCGCTCTTGAGGACTTTCAAGACGACGTCTTCACCCTTGTCGTTGATTATAGATATTTCGACTTCTCCCTGCATCACGAAATACATGCCGTCGGCGGCGTCGCCCTGTTTTAAGATCCGTTCTCCCATTTTGTACGACTTTTGTACCAAAGCGTCAGCGAGTTGTAACTTCTCGTAGGATTCGATAGCGTTAAACATCGGCACTTGATCGATCAGCTTTTCGTAGAATTTTCGCCTTTTGAAGGAGTTTGAAACGACGATTCGTCGGAACGTCTGCCTCTTCATAGCCCAGAGGACGCCGTCTGTTATCGCAGTGATCGTCGCCGACCGAGGCATGTTGTACAACAAAGCCAATTCACCAAAACTCCCTGAGTTATTGTAAGTTTTAATGATTTTCTTGTTTCCTAATTTGTCTTTTATGCTCGCCTCGAATGTTCCGTCCTCGACGACGTAAAAGAAGTCTCCGTCATCACCTTGCTTTATTACTTCCTCTCCTGCTGAGACTTCCTTTTCGAACATCGCGTCTATCGACTCAGAAAACTGCTGATCATCGAGAGTTCTGAAAAGCATGACTTTTTTCATTTGTTCAATAAGATATTTCCTTTGTAAATCCGTCTTTTGATAAACTTCTTTCACGATGGTTTCATTGCTATCTTCTTCCGGATTGTACGGTTCCGTGTAGATAGTTTTTCTCCTTTCTGGCCGTTTATGTACTACTTCGTCTACCTCCTTCTCTTCGACACCGCTAGAATGTTTCCTGTCCCTCACGATTTCGACACTGGATTTTAACCCAGCGAAATAGTGCAAGCCGAAATCGACCAGATTCGCCGGCTGCCGGATTAGATAAGTGATAGTGAGATCTCTGATGATAGCTTTAAAATCATCATCAACCTTGTACCAAGGGATCAAATGTGCGGTCATTTTACTATTTCTGGGTTTTCCAATAGTTAACAGATAATCAACTAACTGATTGACGTTGTAATCAAATTAAAACCACCAAAGTAACTTGGTAATTCTAAGGCCAATACTCTACTAAAAACACAAATAAACCAAAAGTAATTCTAATATCATGTGTTTTTTAACAATTAAATAAAATAGTTAAAATATGTTAGTTTATTTTTCTTTTCCGTTCTTTCTAAATTATTCGAAAAATTAATTTACAAAAGAATCAATTTCTATTGCTACTTCAAACAGCATCTTCCCTTCAGTTTGCCTTTCGAACCCATCATTCCACTACTCATCAACTTCACAGAGTTTGAAGTTGATTCCATTACTTCGTGTCTTGAACTGGAGAGTTTCTAGATGTTTCTCAGGCCTTAGACAAAGTATGGCATGAGGGATATTGTACAAATTAAAATTATTTTTACCCCAGGCCTATTATCTGATTATACAATCATACCTTAAAGAGAGATTTTTCGCAGTAAACCAGGGTACGGAGACTTCTGATATGGAAGAAGTGCTTGCAGGTGTGCCACAAGGGTCAATACTCGCTCCGCTGTTGTACACAATTTTTACTTCTGACATGCCCCCAAATGGGAATACACTTACCACCACATACACAGATGACACCGCCGTATTGACAAGTATCCCTACACATACAAGCTTCACTTATGTTACAAAGCCAATTCAACAATTGAAACATTGAGCAATCTTTGGAAAATAAAGTTTAACTTCTCAACGTCACAACATATGACTTTTACACTCCGCCGTGAGACTTGTCCTGGCATATACTATTACATATGCAACCATACAATGAATCAATCCGACAAAGTTAACTATTTAGGACTTACATTTGATAGAAGACTAACTTGGAATCCACGCACACGATTAAAAACAAACAGACATTCAAGAAACGATTTAAAATGTTTTAATACCTACTTAACCGATAATCAAAACCATCAAAATCGAAACTTTCGACAACATAATGTTGCCGAAAGCTTGGTGATCCCAACACTTTTGTTTTTCTTTCACCTAGTAAAGACCTTAAAGAAGTTTTGAACTCTACATTGATTATCTGCAGGTCGATCTACAAACATAATTTCTTTCGACATACGCATACTCAAACCTATTTGGATGTACCGGTGCCAAGCTTATGGATCGGCCAAATATTCCAATATTCAAAGATTACAAAGTTTTCACTCCAAAATTTTAAGATAGTTTCAGCCACTTTTTACGTAAACAATAATACACTTCAGAAAGATCTTCACATGCCGACAGTTTTCCATCCATTAAAACATATTACAGACGTTTTCATAGTAAATTACAAAATCACACTAACACACAAATACGATTATTTAATTCCCCACAATTACAATATAATCGACTGAAAATAATATGGATAAAAACCTCTTAAATGATTAAATCATTTTATTGATCCAGAGCTGATGGCAATGAGTAGCTTTCTCTGTAAAGCGCTTTATGCCAGAATCATAAATTGAAATTCAATCTGCTGGTTGTGTATAATAATTGTACATTTGTAGATAAAAATAAATGAAGTAAAAAAAAGTTTTTCTATACAATTAATTAAGTTTTTAGTTGAGATAAAAAAGTCAATGGCACGCGCGGGATTCGAACCCACGATCTTCGGCTAGATACGCCGCTGCTCTACCAATTGAGCTATCGTGACCTCGATCCACTCGGACACTAACTTCCCATAAAAATGGCAAAAAGGAGGGAAAATTCAAAAGGTGGGGTTGAGATGGGAAGTTAGTTTCCGAGTGGATCGAGGTCACGATAGCTCAAGTGCTAGAGTAGCGGCGTATCTAGCCGAAGATCATGGGTTCGAATCCCGCTCGTGGACTTTTTTATCTCAACTAAAAACCTTAATTAATTGTAATATATTAATTGGTCAAGCGGACCACGAAATTAGTGGGTTTTTCTGTACTTTAAATTTAAATATAATTTTAAGTAATTTTTTTATTCTTCAGTTATAAGAGTCACACCAGCTGTTCTTGATGATTTTCGTCTTTTACACTTCAATACCATCTTTGTATATTTGATTTTAGATTAAATTAAATGTTGGCAACCAGCACGCAATATTAAAACGCAGAAATATTATTTAAATAAATCATAGTACTCTAAACGAAAAAATTCAAAACAAAGAGATTCTACGTTGTTAATCAATAATATAACTACTCAGGGCCGCTGGATTCGAACCCGGAACCTTTACCTTACAGTGATGGGCGCCGTGTCAACGCCTGAACCGTTGCGGCCACCGACGCCCCCCACTACTCTTATTGGTAAACAAAATTTAAACTAACTACATTGTCCATTTAAGTGATGTTTAAAGTAAAAGTGCAAAATGGAAACTTGTTTCATTATTATTTTTTTTAAACAGCTCGTAACTTCATTAAGTTGAGTAGAACAGATGCATTTTAACTGAAATTGAATTTTACCCCGGGAGTTCTGTCAATAATAAATCCCCATGTTAAAATTTGACGTAGTAACGTTGATTCAATTAAAATGTGTAAATTATTAATGACGGGTTTATGCATGAGCCAGGCCGCGATTTTACATTAAGCGAATCTATTTTCCCAGAGGTTTACAAACGATCTAATTGCTGCTGATGCCGAGTGCAAACGCACGGTTGAAAAAATCCGAAATATAAATTTAGGAAGAATTAATGAAAATTATATAGTAGAGTTATATTTAAGCGGATAATTGAAGCGGGTAGTCATCGCTGAGAAAATAAGAAAATCTTGAATTCCGGAGGCGCTTCTCCGGTAAAATTATTCTAAGCCGGCCTCTTCTCTGAGGAAAGAAGATGGAGAGGAAGTGTGCGAGAGAGATCCAAAAAGATCGAGAGAGAAAACAAAGGAAAAAAGAGTAAAAGATATGCAAGAGGAAAGAACCTGTTGATTCATTTGAATCAATATACTTTATCTCGATTTCTTTTGTTTCAGTCAGTTTCCTCGCCCCTTTTAAAAAGACGAGTTTCAAATGTTGAATTATTTATCGGCGTCATTGTTTTACATCCTAAACGCATATCCTAGGATTGTTTTTAAAAAAGGATTGCAGAGAATTTGTGTGCCTTTTTCAATAACCAGGGCAATTCAGTCTTTTTTTAATCTAGCTGAAAATTATCTTTTAAAACTTCGTTGCAATTAAAATTGGCCTGGTTCTCGATCAGAGATCACACTACGACATGATCACTGATATTGATAAACTCAAAATTTGCAAACCCATGTGCATACATGACGCGTGAACAGATTTTATCTTACTTTTCGCCGTCTACCGAATTCCAGATCATTACTGACTTTCTTCGATTTTATATAAAAGTGAATATACCAATACAGTGGGCTTGTGTTTTTCTTTTTTTCTATATATTTTTATATGTAAGTATACAAAGCAAAGTCACAAACCGATTGCTTATTTTTATTTGTCTTTCTTTTTCTCCCTCTTCTTTGTTACATTTTTGAATCTTAACCTTTGCAACAATTAAAAAATATAAAACTATGATTTTTTTAAAAAGTGGGTTCCCAACAGCAAAAACCCTCAGGGGGCCGGTGTTTTTGAAAGAGTAAGTATGCAGAGCCACTGGATTCGAACCCGGGATCTTTACCTTACAGTGATGAGCGCCGTGTCAACGCCTAAACCTGTGGCCACAGACGCCCCCAAAACTATGATATTAAAGATTGGATTATTGAGGGAGATTTAAATTTAAATATACTGGGTTGTTACAAATGTCTTTGTGCATTAATTAATTGGCGATATTAACGTTTCAATTTTAATCATTATTCGACTCTGATGTATACAATGTATTAATCATTGTTTATTTTGACTAATCCTTTATTTAATTATGTACATCAACGGTCTCTGCCTTTCATTCTCTGTTGTAAATTTTACCAAAAATGTCGTTAGAAAAAATTGTCATTCGTGTTCTACTGAGGCACATATGGAAAAAAAAGGACTAGGTGCGAAGGCAGCAGGCGAGGAAATTTGTGTAGTGGAAGGTGAAAATGTCGTGTATCCTTTTTTTTAGCGTTTTTGTTCAGGCGGTTCAATTCTGGGAAGAACAGCCTTCAAGATGAGCGTAGATCTGGTCGCCTTTCAGTGGTGGATGATGCTTAATTACTCGAGTCAATCAATAAGGATCCGTATGCGACCATTCGAGGATGACCGTCCGGTGAGCAAATGCAACGGTAAGCCGCCATTTAAAACAGCTTAATGTCCGAAACGAGCCAGATCAGATCCTCATGAGTTGTCAGCCGCCCAAGATCAACAACGAGTTGATATCTGTAAAAGTTTCCTTCAAAATACAAAATTTGATAGATTTTGGAAGAGAATTGTAACGAGCGATGAAAAATGAATATTTTCAACAGTGGGCACCACAAGTCTAAGAGGTTCAAGCAGAGGTCCGCTAAGATCGATTTAGAAAAAAGATTATGCTTTGTTGTTACATTTGTTAAATGTAAACAATATTTGTAAATCCCAGGCCCTGAAGATGATCTCAATAAAGATCGAAACGTTGGCACGATAAAGAAAATGTTTTTCTGAAACCTACATCACACCAGACCGCATCTCACGATATCCGAATAATTATCGATTAACGGTCACTAATCTCTACACATTATGCTTTGTGTTTCGTGAAATTATAAGGGTGTTTTGCACTTAGAGCCAGTTCCGTATGGCAGAGCTATTGATGCAGAGCTTTATGGTGAACAACTCGAAAGAGTATATGGGGTTTTAAAAGAGAATTACTCTACTTTGTTCAATCGGGAAAAAGCGATATTTTAACATGACAACACTCCTGCCCATCGTTCACGTTTAGCCAAAGAAAATTTTTCAGAAATGAAAGGTGTTAGCATCTTGCCCCGTACGTCTCACCGTCTGACTATGGTCTTTTCCGGCCAATGGTGCATTTTTTGAATGACCGGAACTTAGAAAACTACGAAGATGTCTAATTGGGATGTGAGGACTTC